GTGACAGTTGAAGGGACAGATCATTACTACCAATGATGTTTAACTTTTCACCATTAGCAATAATAATATGTTTATGGTGAGTTTTAGTGGAAGGGATTAGGTGGTTGAGGTAGGCTCCTGTCATATGGTTGGTGGCACCTGAGTCTATAATCCAAGCACGTGAAGGGGAAAAACAATATGCAGAGAACTTACCAGACAAGCCAATAGTAGAGAAAGCAGAGGAAATAGCAAAAGATACCAGTTGCCGAACCCTTTCTTCATCCATGACACTTGTTGATTCACCTTTCATTGAGGACTCACCCTTGGTAGATACAGTGTCTATTGCTGGTCCATTTGTTGCCTGATAGGCCCGGTGCCGAGTCTTTTTCTGAGAGCCCTTAGCTAGTCGGACTGGACAGTCTGGAATGATGTGACCATGTTGCTTGCAATAGGTACACACATTCTTCTTCTTACAGTGAGATGCTATATGTCCAAAACCCTTACACTTATAGCACTGGGTTTTGGAGAGGTCCTTGGAGGTTGGCTTCTTACCCCCATGAGCAACAAAGGTTGTTTCAGCCCCAACTTCAGCCACCTTCCCATCAAACCCGGTTGCAGTGAGAAGTCTAGTCTTTTTGCTCAGAAGTCCCCCTAAAACAGAATCCATATCTGGAAGTGTTCCCCTACTCAGAATGTTGGACCTGATTATCTCATATTCAGGTCTGAGTCTCATCAAGAACTGAATCACCTTTCTCTTCTCAAAGTGCTTCTAAAAATATTTTACACACTCCACTGGATCCGAGGGTTCAATGTGAATAATCTCATATTCAGCCCATAAATCAAGAAAACCAGAATAATACTCTTGTATCCTCCTATCTCCTTGACTGTAAGAGAATATTTCCGATTCTATCTGATATTGCTTAGATACGTTGGACTGTTGATAAACCTTTTTTAGATACATATACATCTCATGTGTTGTTTTCATTCTCCTCGTACGAACAGATATATGATAGTCAATAGAACTCAGAATCCAAGAAACAAGTTTACCATTGTCCAACTTCCATTGTTGTAAAGCTTTGGCCTCAATCTCAGCTGGTTTGGTGACCATTCCATTCAAATATCCTTCATAACCCTTTCCCTCAACATAAAAGTCGAAGTGAAACTTCCACATCCCATAGTTCTGTCCATTCATCTTTATAGGGATGATATCACCTCTATCTGAAGCCATTTCAGCAAGAAAATAACACAAATAGGGTTCGGCTGAAGTTTAAAGAAATTAATCTGAGGCAAAACTTAGATCCAAAGACAAGAGAAATAGGCTGTAATCAATCCAAGAGAGTCAAAAAACTGAAATAGAAACCCCTTACTTTCACCAGAGATTGTTCAAGATCCAAAACGAAGAGAGGCTGAACACACAGTCTAGAAAAGGAAAGTCTGGACGCATCAGCCATGAAGAAGAGTCCAGATCTCTCTCAAAACTTCATGGATCTCCGTAAAAATTTCAGAATATGTTGAGAAGGGTTGGGCGACAACTCCTTTCAATTCTTGTTGCAAACAGAGGTCAAACGAGAGAGATCCAATAAAATCTCTCTCTGGGTGCGCAGAAAACAAAAGAGGAGTTCCTGGATAGATTACCAGGACCACTCGGCAAAGATGTAGGTTTTCAATAGATCACGAATGCAATATGGATCAGAGAGAAGGAAGATCAAAGAGAAACCTGTTTTGATACCATGTGAACTGAATTCAGATCTAGAAGAAAACAGATCTAGGGGTGTCAAGAATAGTCGACCCCCACCCCAAAGAGCCTCTTTTTATATTAAAAAGATAAAAAGAATGTACAGTTACAAGAATGCCCTTACAGGGCTGAAAGATAAAAAGAACAAATAAAATAATAAGAACTATGATACTGTACAACAAGGACTACTCTAATAATGTACGTCAAGATATATCTTCACAATATAGGCATCTTTGAGGGTTTGGATTAAGGCTATTAAATCAGAAATCTCTGAGTCCCTTAGGGTCCTTCTGAGGTGGAGGTTTAAAGAATTCTCGGCAGACTGGTTTGGGAGGCAAGCAGAAATAGAGGCTTCTTGGTCAAGGATGACGTTAAACAGCCTAGGGAAAGAGGCTTCCAGGGTAGATTCCCCCCACCAAGGATCTTTCCAGAATTTAATTCTAGACCCATTTCCCACTTTATACCTTATGAAAGGAAAGAAAGAAGTATGAATGGAACATATACCTTTCCAAGGGTTGGTGGCCTTTATCCTGTTCAAATGGAGATTGCAATCCCACCCATTTGTATTTTGTCCATATTTACTTGAGATGACAGCAGTCCAAAGAGCATTAGGTTCTTTTGGAAATCTCCAAAGCCATTTGCCTAGGAGAGAAGAATTTTTCTCTTTAAGCTGTCCAATACCCAACCCGCCTTCTTCTTTTGGTCTGCATACTTGTTTCCAACTAACTAAATGGTTTCTCTTGTCTCCACCACCTTCCCAAAGAAAATTCCTTTGAAGCTTCTCAATCTGATTTCTGACTTTAGTCGGAATTTGGAAAACAGAGAGAAAGTAGACCAACAAATTTGATAAGGAGGCCTTTAAGAGAGTAAGCCTACCCCCTTTGGAGAGATAACACTTTTTCCAAGTCGATAGTTTCTTCTCGCATTTCTCCATCACAGGACTCCAAAAGTTGAAGGATTTTGGATTCCCTCCCAGAGGCATCCCAAGGTAGGTAATGGGGAGATTCTCCACTTTGCACCCCAATAAAGATTTGCAATTTTCTAGAAGTTCCACTTCCACTGAGTTGATAACCACAATACTACTTTTGCAGAAATTAACTCTTAGACCAGTGAGAATCTCGAAACATTTGATTACCATTTTAGTGTTTGTGATGTTGGTTATGGAGGCATCCAAGAACAGGATTATGTCATCAGCAAACTGTAAGTGAGAGATGTGAAGTTTATCCCTACCCACTTCAAAACCTTTCACCAAGTTGAGAAAAATTGACTTGTCAAGGAGATAATTAAATATATCCATCACCAAAGTGAAAAGTAATGGGGAAAGAGGGCAACCTTGTCTTAGACCCCTGCTAGCCTTGAAATAACCTTTTGCATCACCATTTATCAATATTGAAAACCAAGGAGAGCCAATACAACCTTTAATCCACCTGATCCAATTTCTCCCAAAACCTCTTAGCCTTAAGCAATCAAGAATGCAGTCCCAATCCACTTTGTCATACGCCTTCTCAAGATCAAGTTTCACAAGGACCCCCGGGATCCCAGAGGATTTTTTGTCTTCCACACACTCATTTGCAATAAGAATGTTGTCCACAATTTGTCTTCCTTCTACAAAAACAAACCGATTTGGGGAAATCAGATCTTCAAGGACTTCTTTAAGTCTATTGGCCAAAACCTTCGCCAAAATTTTGTAAATGCTCCCAACCAAACTTAAAGGTCTAAAGTCTTTAACTTCCAAACTCCCCCTTTCTTAGGGATGAGGCAGAGAAAGGTAGAGTTAAGGCCCTTGTCAACAATGGCAGATGAATGGAAGTCTTTGAAAAACTCCATGAGATCTAACTTTACAATTTCCCAACACTTTTGGAAGAAAAGAACAGGGAAGCCATCCGGCCTTGGAGCCCTATCTCCATCCATGCTGAAAATAGTCTTCTTGACTTCTTCCTCTTCAAAGCTTCTTTCCAACCAATCCCTCTTTTTAGCTGATAGGGTAGTGCCATCCCAATTAAATATTGTCAACTGATTTTCACTATCCTTGGAGAAAAAGGTTTTTAAAGAAAGAAAAGAAAGCTTAAAAAATTTCCTCGGGATTCTCTACTTCTCTCTGATTAAAATTGAACTTAGAAATAAAATTCTTCCTACTTCTTCCCGAGGCATAGGTATGAAAAAATCTGGAATTATTGTCCCCTTCTTTCAACCATCTCACTCTTGATCTTTGTGTCCAATAAATCTCTTCCCTTCTAACTAGTTGATCCCATTCCTTTCTTAATTCTGCTCTTTTATTTCTGTTTAAGGCATTGAGGATTTATTTACATTAGAACTTGTAGTAGATTTATTAGTTGGATTTTAGATTTATTATTATTATTATTTTTTTTTTTGTAGACAGGAGTTTTCACTTAGGGAGTAGAAGTAGGGCTTGGGGAAAAATGGCCTGAGTGATCCATTGCATTCTGGGAATTGGAGGAGTGTTGGAGAGTGATCCTTTGCATTTTAGTTCAATTTTTCTTTTTTATCTTATTTTATTTTTTTGGGGCGGGAGGGGCAACAACCCACTTTATTACGTTTTTTACCAGCCTAAATGTAGTAACAATATAAATAATAGTTTTAACAAAAAGTTTTTTTTGGGGAGGGGGGGGCAAGGACCCCCCACCAATATACTTGGCTTTGCCCCTGGCTCTAGCCATAGAAACCATTCAACAGAACATTTTTGAAATTTAATCTGGTTAGTAAAATAGAAAAAAAAATAAAAATCATGTATTACAAAACAAACTTACAAACTTAGATATACATTCCCTAAGACATTAGTCCGAGATTTGAGTTGTTTTCAAGAATGAAAGTAAGTTGCATTGCAACGGGAATTGGTTCTCCATTTTCATTATTTTTCTTCTTTTTACTACTTTTTCTTATGCATGTTTTGTTGTTACTTGTTACTTGTTAGCATGGGTTTCATACTGAAGCACAAAAATTAGTAACTAACTAGCAAACATCATTAAAATCTGTTAATAAGTACCACTAAAAGGGTCGGTTGTAGAAATAAATTATGCATGTAATATGCTAAAAAGTCAATTTATGTTGCTTGTCACTAGGATCATACATAACTATTAGTTTTGCCTTTGAAAGAACACTGAAAGTTAATACCTTCTAATAGACTGCACTGCAGATAAATGATTATGGCAACAATTACTATCCATAAACATATAGGCGTAAGATTTTCTGCTGCCATAATTGGTGCTCAATAGAACAGCCGACATCCAACCACATAAAGAATATCAAATTATAGAGTAAGGCATACCTCCAGAGCAAACTGATGTTTGGCAACGTCTGTCTTGTTAAAGGCCAAAACCAGAGGCAACCGTGTTTTATAGAGTATGCTACATGCGTAGAGCATGTTACTCATGAATGTGACTGGGCTTGCTGAACGAGGGGTATCAACCACATATGTAATTACTGTAGGAAAGGTTGAAGCAAAAGCTTCAGCAATTATTGCTCCAGAAGCTGACCAGGTGAAAATCTCAATTTGACCAGGAGTATCTACAAGAACATAATCAAGCTGATCTGCTCGTTTCTCAATAACTGATATAACCTGAAATCAACAAAAAAAGGAATATGTATCAGGAATTTCAAACAGCTAGCTTCGCCCCAATCCAATGGTGTTTACAGATACTAGGATGTAGAGGGGTTAGGAACTTGGGAGTTAGGACCCAATACAGATGGATCTTTTGTTCCAAACATCTGTCAAAATCTAAAGATTCTGTTCCAAAGTACAAACATCTGTCAGAATCTTCCTTCTGTCCAAATAATGTGGTGGAATAAATTTTTGATGCAAGAGATCTTCTAAACAAGGACATACTCAACAGCCTCAATGCATAACCTCTCTAAAAGAGTGCTAAAAGTAAGGCATAATTGAGATGACTGTAGATCAGTCTTATATCAACCTAGTAAAACAAAGATTACAGAACGAAATAAATTTCACATTAAAAACGTGTACCTCATCAAACTTTGTAGAGAACAAGTTCAATGATGTGAGAATTCCCCCATTAGGACCAAGATTGAACTGTTTCATTACTTCCTTGTACTGAACAGTGTCTCTTATATCAATATTTGCGCCAAAAGGAAGTGTCATAACAGCTGGATCAAGGTTAATTACATATCCACAAATGTTTGAAGCTTGTGTATGGCAAACCAACCGGTGAAGAAAAGTTGTTTTTCCACTCCCTGTGGTAAACCCAAATCCTTCATCAATTATTTTAGAAAGAAAACGCTATGGATGTTTGACAAATCTAATCCCCATTACAAATTCAGAAGAGAAATTGAGAAGTAGCGATGCAAATGACGTGCCTGCCATTCCAACAACAATGACAATGACTGGTTTTCGTTTAAAGTTAGTTGATGAAGTGCCCACTTGACCAGAGGAAGATTCCTGAATTTGTAGTTTCTCCATCGACTTGGTAAGATCATCTTTTGATTTGCCCTTGAAATTCAAATAAAAGGAAAAGAAAGCAATCATGAACATTTAGAGCAAGTTCTGGCCAACACACAAAGATGAATTGATGCAGCAAATAGAAGTAAAGGTTTGATAAGGAAAATAAAATAGGTACTTTGCTGCTTGAAGGTTCCAGAGAATCCACTTGCATTAGCAAGCCTTCCTCTGCCATTTTCGAATCCAACTTGCAAGAATCACTATCAATGTCCATCTTTCAGCAATGAGGTGTCATTCCGGACCTTCAAAAATATCAGAAATCCTAAGAGTTCGCAAGGAAAGAAAACTTGATCGAATTCCTCTTAGACTTTTTATAGGAAGAATAGCAACAATATTTGGTTAATGAGAACAGCCTGTTAACCTCATATATCACCAAATAAGTTACTTAAAAATAACACGTATAGAAAGCAAGACAAATGATTGTAGTACTGAAATCTATTGATTCGAAAAGGCAAAGAAAATTCAGAGAATTTATTGGGGACTTACTCACATGTTCGAACAGTGAAGCGGGCTGTTAATAGCTCCACCGCACGATTACTTAATTCAAAAAAAGAAATGAAATATAAAAAAAAAAAGAACTAAGCTTGTTGATTTTATTTAAAACGAAAATCCTCTTGCTTGTTCAATGATCGATGCGATCTCTGCAACTTAAAACACCTAGACAACTCGATTCACAGAATACCAAGATGGAATACAAAATTATATATGGTAACAGGATCGTTGTAAGCCAAATTTAAACTCTAGAGATGGACACAAGAGAAGTGTGTCCACAGCAGGTGACATCATCCCAAAACCAGCAGTGAGTACATGAATTTTTCAGAGGCAAGCTTTGATGCAGCAGAAGTGACGGAACAGATGGAAAGATTTCCTTCAACTAGAGCAGCAATAAACTCTGATCATTCAGGCACATGTCGCAGAGCGAATTCTAAGGACGCCGAGAAAAATTAGGAGTGCAGCAGAAGAAGCATGGGAAGATAAGACAGCTAATTAGGCATATGACCGTGGAGTGCGCAAGAGATTGACAACCTAGGTGCTAGGACTTGAAGGAGAATGTGGTGGCTTCAGGAGGAGGGTGGACAACCACTAGCTCCGTCCTTGTCTTGTGGGTTCAAATGGTAGGCTTGTAGCAGACGACACACACAACAGTGGAGAGAGAGAGAGAGAGAGAGAGAGAGAGAGAGAGAGAGAACCTTTTATGCAGAATCCTTGTATGGTGGCTTTCCCGGCGAGAATATGTTGGTAACGAACACCGGCAGCGAAGCGATGAAGAGGGAAAAGAAGGGTTTTAGAGTTTTATAGCCAGGATTCTGATCTTTTAATGTTTTCTTCCTGATTTTACCTTTCTAAACACGCTGGTGAGGAAGAAAGAAACACTGTTCGGGGGGCATGGGGTGGGTAATTGGGTAACCCCATGAAACAACCTCGCACTCGGAAGCTTAGAGAGAGAGAGATGCGATTTTCAGATGGTACGAAAGAGTGAAGATCACCTCTGCAACAAAATAAGGTTAGGAGAAGTGCTTTTTTTTTCGTGTGTTTCTGCAAGGGAGGGAGAGGGAGGCTGGAGGTGGAGGGAATATAAGCAATTTATTAGTATTCAGTAGCCGTTTCGATCAAATGTCTTCTTATAACTTATTGAGGCAAATGCCCAGAATCATTCATTGAAAGTTAAAATCTAAAATATAATAAAACGCCGTTGCCGGGGATCGAACCCGGGTCACTCGCGTGACAGGCGGGAATACTCACCACTATACTACAACGACTTCGGTTGGCATAAATTTTCTATTATTCTATTTAACATAAATAATACATTAGTCCATGCCTATTTCTTGGGTAAATAAAACAATAAATATTTTATCTATAAAAAACTTATTATTTTAATTGTTCATAAATAACACATTAGCCCATGCCTATTTCTTAGGTAAATAAAACAATAAATATTTTATTTATAAAAAAATTATTATTAAAAAGAATAATTTTGTTCCATTTAAATGTTATCAACTTTTCCTGTGAAAAAGTTAATTAAATACCCAAGGAAAAGTTTAAACCCCAGAAAAAAGAATGCGGGTATTTTCCTCTCTCAAAAATACAAAAGATCAACGGGCCCATAGATATATTACCCACCTTGTGTATTATAATGTGGCAAAGAGAAAAACATTCTTTTTTAGGAATTGCACACAAGTTCGGATCAAGTAAGCATAGTAAATTAGCACACAATAAATATTCTACACCTGTATCAAAAAGTTTATTTAAATCTTTGGGATAGAGTAAGGTGGTGTTTGACACCATGTTCATCTCGTGAATAGGACCGGGATGAATACTCACTCTATGGGCTGTGGATGGGACCGGTTCACGCTATGTCATGGACCGGTCCCGTCCATACCCCAATTTCTCATCCACAGCAAAATCCCGTGGTTAGAGATCGTCCACACTTGATTTTTTATCCCCTACTTCACACTTTCCCTCAAAGGCCAAAACCCTATTATATGTTTCACATTTTAATATTTTGGTTAATAAAATATTAATTATTTTACTTAATTTTTTTATTCATTTTAAATTTTAATGTTTTATCAATAAAATAATATTTTAAATATATTTTTTTAAAATTTTAATTATTTTACTATTGTTTTATAAAAAAATAATATTTATTGGTTAATATTATTCATTGATGCATTTTTCAATATATTTATCATATAAAATGCAAAAATTAAATAATTATGATTAACTATGTAGATCAAGGTTTTCAAACCGCCGTTGACCCAGGCGATCAGACCGTTCAGCCCGAGAACCGTCTAGGCAAGCGGTTTTTGGCCAAAAACTCTTGAAAAAGTCAACAACCTGTTGACCCAAGTGGTCAAATCGTCGACCCGTTCAATGGTTTTTTACTATTTTTATTTTTTTTAATTTGTTTGTCAGAACGAGCTGTCCATTCGAACCTGACGACCAGACCATCAACCCAATAACCGGTGGCTAGAATGGTTCCGTTTTCGGGTCATTTTTTAAAATGTTGTTGTAGATCATTCATAAATGTATATGAGATACATGGAATCAAAAAGTGTGGTGTGACAGAACGCCACTGTGGGTGTGAATTGGTCCAGTCCACACAATTTGTCCACAATTCAGAATAGCTATGGATTGTGGTGTGGTGTGGATTAGCCCCTGCCATAGGGTGTGGTGTGGACCAGTCTACACCCACCAATTTCTCATCCACACTACAGAACACCCCCTAAGGGCATTTTAAGAGACAGGTGTAAAAAAACTTTAGTGCCTACTCAGACCTGCTCATAATGTGTACATACTGATATAGACTGATTAGATACTACACAATATAAAAGGATCAAAGGAGAGGACAACTAGGGGTGTCAATTGGACTGGATTTGGTCCAATCCGATCCAGTCCAATGTGAGTCCATTACAAATGCACCAGGTCCAATCCAATCCAATGAATAATTTGGACTATTTTGGACCGGTCCAATTCAATGTTCGGACCGTCTAATTTGTTCAAATTCATTTTAATTTATATTGGTTTAAACTTAAACCCGATCCATTGACACCTATATAAATTTAGATTGGCTTAATCCAACCAAATCCAATATAAATTTATTAGAGATAGACTAGGTCCAGTCCAATCTAATAAAGATTTTGGACCGGATTGGTCCAATCCACTATGTCTTTTTGGTCTGTCCAATCCGTGGGGTCCAATCCAAAACCGGTCCATTGACACCCTTAAGGACAACACCATTGATGTTGACGAACACACCTTTGCGTGTTAAGTGTGTTAGGTGTCTGTTTCTTGATCAACTGTGATCCTTTTGTGTATATATTAGTAAAAAAAATCAGTGAGGTGAGGTAGTAGCAACCAATCTATTTCTTTTCTTTTAGGCTATATTTGGTTTGAAGGAAAAAGTAGGGAAAGAAAAGGAAAGGCAAGAAAACCTTTAAAAACCTTGTATAGGTTTTAATACATTTTCTTTCAAACCAAACATAGCCTTAGTTTAAGATATTATAAATTAGAGGGAGATTAAGAGGTAGAGACAGCAGGGTGCACGTTAGGTCCATTAAAACATTTTCATAGATAGTTTGCATTTACATGAATTGGATCTCGCATCTCCAAGAATGCCAAGTGGCCATCTCAACTACGAGGTCATCAGTCCAGCTATAGGGTTGTATGTCCTATGTTCCTAGGTCAAACAGTTCGACCATCCAAGTCAATGATGGTTTTAAAACCATGTGTATGCAAGTTGCAATCACTAGAATTCAGCCCCAAAACACAGCCCAACTAACATGTTTACAAACACTTCACTAACATTTGCATTTCTCTTACCATGTTTTCCCAACCTAGTATCCCTGCCTTATGCTTCTTAGTTCTCATATACTTGGGACAAGGTTTAATTTTTTAGGTTCAGTTTGGAAGGAGTACAAATACAAATATATAGAGTGCAAAACCTTGTATTTTATAATATTTTGTATGTATTTGTATATATATTTGTATTTGTAGTCCTTCCAAACTAAATCTTAGGAAATTTTTGGCTAGGGCTGTCAACGGGTTGGGCTTATCCAACCAAACTGAAATGACCAAACTAATTATACCGGTTCTGATTCTGTGGTTTGTCCCAATAAATAATTAACTGGGTTGAGATCGGTTCATGTTGTTTCTGAATCGATTAAGGCTTGCACCAATTATATAGTTGTAAGTTGTTATTAGCATAGATAATTATAGATTATATTGGCAATTGGCGAAAATACGCTTAAATTTTAAACTTTAAACCCAGGAAAGTGTAACCACAAAGTATATTAGCTTCTTTTAACACTTCCACGATTAAAAATCATGTCCAACGATGTAAAATCCGTAAATATCAATTATATGGAATCAGTTACATGAATTCTGTTTCACATGGACACTGACTTTCTAGTAATACATTAGGCTTAGGAAAGAATGCAAATACAAATATGTGTGATACAAAAACAAGGTCTAGAAATATAAATATATAGAATGCAAAACCTTGTATTTATATTATTTTATATGTATTTGCACCATACATATTTGTACTCCTTCCTAAGTGAGCACGGACTGTTAATTGATCAGGACTATTCCCAGTTTAATTGGAGAGGGGCCATTCCATTCGATCTGTTAACAAATGAAATGACTGGACTGAATGACTTAAAGTTATACATGTTCACAATGCCCTTCTTCGATCTTTGGGTTCTTTTTAAATGTTCTTTGAGTCTGTTTGGTTTACAGTAAATATCAGAATCGGAATTGAAATCAGAACCAAAATGGTTTATTTCCATAATTTATTTGTTTCAAACAAGAATCGAAATGGAAATTGCAATCAGCTGAAATGATTTTTTTTTTCAATTCCAGGAGGGGGAGAGAATGGCCATTCCCTCAAATGGGAAATGCCATTCCACCAGGAATGGAAATGGGATTCAGATTCTATCCAATCAAACAATCGACCATTCCATTTCCAATTCCAAACCAAACGGGCCCTTTTTTTATTTTTTGTTTTTTGCTCTAACAAATGAATAAGCCATTACTTCATGCCAACGTGGACTGTCTTTTCTAGAGATGTTTGGATTTACAAAGCCTCTCGAAATGCTTCAAACTTTAATTTGTGAATTGGGTTGTTTCTGAAAAGAAAAGATATTCGTTTGATCATCTTCAACCTCTGGGCTCTGGTTATCAATGGATTTCGGCCCTTGGGCATCACGCTTTGTTGCAGCCAATGGGTGTTTCGACCCTATGGCCCCATTGTCAGTGTATTTCCCCGTGTATTTGTGCAAGAAGAATTAAATACGTTTATAAAGATTCATGATCAAACCGTAACCGTTGTTGGACATCAACCAAACTGCTCAGCGGGGACTCAACCCCTTATACGGGTTGATGGTCCATGACTAATACTAATACCACTGGTTGTTGGATCACATATTCACATTCAATACCCGAATATGGCTCTATTTTGCAAGAGCACCATGCAGAATAAAACTCATAAAATTTTATATCTAAGTCATGTTGCTTGCTCCACCAAAGCTAAAGAGGAAAAAAAAACTCCTATATAAACCAAAACCATAACTAGGGTTTTCTTTACAATCAAAGAAATCTATAATAAAGCAGAAGAATACTGAAACAAGTCAAGCAAAAAGAATGTACATACTCTCACCATCTGAAAGTCCAAGAAAATATCCTTAGTGTCGGAAATCGTAACTGGTGTGTTCACCCAGAGTCCAGCTTCCTCGTCTGAAATCTGAATCATCACCAATAGACATTTGAGCCCTGAAATTTAAAGCTGAAAGCAGAAAGAAAAAAAAATAATCATGTGATCACACTGACCTTCTTCTTCTGTAACCCCCTCCCAAAAAATAAGAAAAAATAAATAGAAAAGAAAGAAAATGGCCGTATTAAAAACCAACCAAACTCATTCCTAAGAATACAGGCTTCAGCCCGCAAACATTGTCTCAGCGTGGATCTAGAAATGCTGAAGGCATGATTCTCATCGTTTTCATCCATCTCAAAGACTGCATTATATCCTTTTTTTTTTGTGACTAACCACATTATATCTACTTCAACCAAAATATAAAATTGAAGGATTGTATGTTGTTAAC